CATACAGTGGAGAGAGAGCTAAGGGCTTTATTACATATGATTAATATGTCTAGGGTGATGTGGTTATATCATGTGATGTGTCCTGACGAGCCAACTAACATAAGAACATAAGGAGAAACATTGCTGCAGGCCTATACTAGGCAAGTCCTTAAACCCAAACCCACTAAAAAAAATATTTGCCTAACTCATTTTCAAAGCTACCTAAGGAATAAAATCTGATAACCCTGTTAACTTCAGTGTAAGTCCCACTCAAACCCATCCCCTCTCACTTATTTATTTCACATTTATTTGAAGGTATCCAAGATTTTTAACCTTACTTGGTGAACTGTTTCACTCATCGACTACCATATTTACAAACCAATACTTTCCTATCTCAAAGTGATACATGAAACTAACAAACACAGGTAAACAGGTACTTACAGTATCTTGACGATGCAGTTGTTCGCGACCTCCCGTGCTGGCTCCCTCAGTGCTCTCGTACTCGATATTCCAATTGATGGCAAGTAGAGCCTTGATGGCGTCTCTCACTGGCTCTCGGTAGCGCTCCCGCTCCTGGTTGTTGATACATTAACATAAGCATCAATATCATTATCATTACTACAGTACAACTTGCAGAACGTAAAATATGGCAAAGCATATTGTAAGTGCTGAGGTAATATGAGGTACTAACAGTCTGCGACCATGTTGAAAGGCTCTTAAGAGAGTAATATGCACTCACATATTTTGAGAGCATGTTGAAAAAGTCTTAAGAGAGTAAGATGCACTCACATAGTCTGAGAGCATGTTGAAAGGCTTTAGTCTAGGATGGAGCTTCTCTTCAATGGAGTAAGTGTCACCGTAACTCCAGCCACTCTCCAACTTGCGTGAGGCCCAGGCATCGTGATAATGCTCACTGAACTTCTTGATGAGGTCCTGGATGTCTTGGTCCAGCTGTACACTGATCAACAATAACACAGATTCTCATTTAGCTCTTTCTAGTGATTAAACTAACGATTAATAATTCTTGCAATGAAAACTCCCTCAGGCACAAAGGATAACAACATCAGAACATAAGAAGAGGAACACTGCAGCAGGCTTGTTGGCCCATACCAGGCAGGTCCTTCACAATCCATCCCTCAGGCGACACTTATTTTCACTGGCTAACGACTACAAACTGAAGCAATTAGCTTTTTTAACTAGTCCTACGAAAATCACAATCGAATCACTGCTATTTGCAAATGCTTTGAAGGCCATATGATACATGAAATTATCAAATCTGTTGTGATAATTGCTGGATATTGATTACGATTTTTTAGATAATTTGCAGTGTTACGTCTCTCTCTCTCTCTCTCTCTCTTTCCTTCCTCTCTCTGTGCTTCTTTCTCTGTTTACAGAAGAAAAGCAAGAGGACGCGATATGATGGTTTCGCTAACAATTGTTGCTCTAAAAATATGGGAGAAAGCCATTAGAGAAAAGTGCGTTAAACATTTGCACTGTGAAAACCGGGTAGTAAACAATTCAAATTTGTTTCTGGATATCAAATCTATCAAGATATTATGACAATCTAGATTTTAAGTAAGTTTTTAATATATTTTCCATTAGAGACTAATTTTGATAAGAAATAAATGACAGACTTTCTCTCTGAGAGACAAATGAAAACAGTGACAAGAGGAAAAAAAAATTCTCTTGGGGAAATGTTGCAACTGGGGTGCCACAAGGATATGTACTTCCCCCAGCAATGTTTTTAATTTATATAAATCGCTTATTAAAAATAAAAAACTACATGAATTTGTCTGTAGATTTTAAACCAATCTTGAGCAAAACAAATAATAAAAATAACAAGATGATTTGAATAGATTAAGCAAATGGCATGACAGATAGATGACAGAATTAATTTTGATAAATGCCATGTAAAGGGAATAAGCGACAGTGACGACAGACCACATAAAGATTTTGTAACATATTTCTGGGAGTGCCATATACAGAAAGAGATGAGTCATGATGACAGACTGAAAACACTGAAGCCAGGCTTGCTGATAGCAGGACGAGATGTGATAACTTAGAAGGTTATGAATGAATATGAAATACCAGATTATTTTTTAGTAGCTTCAACACAGATAAGAAGAGGCAGCAAACATGAATTAAGAAAAAAAATTGGATCCAAAATGATCATGAAAAATTTGTCTGTACAGAGTGGTAGACGAATAAAATAAATGGAAAGAGATAATATATATGATGAATATATTACTGAAGACGAGACACCACCAACACAATTCTGCTCCAAGAAGTACGGAAAGGAAATTACAAACAGATAATGGCACACACACTATAATATCAGGGTAGTGTGTAGTGTTTATACACACTATAAACTATATAAAGACTGGCATATCACATTTGTGTCCTCAAGAATCTTACTCTGTAGTATCGATGGGTGTGGGCATGTAGGGGCCCTCAGCACAGGAGGAAGTATTGTAGAGTTCATCCTCATGACCGTGAGTGAGGGAATAGTCTGGTGGTAGGGAACACCCGATAGCTGACAGGCAGGGTAGAGCCTGTCAAATATCCCCAGACTTAAAAGAACTGTAGACTGTATCCTGCTTGTTTGCCCGCAAGGCAAAACTGAAACAATTTTTCAAGCAACCACGTGTATATTAATACATTTTGTTGATTATTTAGCAAAAAAAAGTTCCAGGGCCATGGCTTGAATAGTTAACTAATTATTCCAAGAGGAAATTCTAAGCAACATTTCTGTCCAACTTTGATTATGAGAATTCTAAACAATTAATCCTTTACTTTAGTTTACCCTAACTGCTCACATGATTTGAATAGCTTATGAATATTTATTCTTTGAATTAATAAAAAGAAAAAGAGAGAAGCTGCCATCATCACGCGCACCTTACTGAAGAGCTCAGGGTCGTACTCCATCTTGGCGAGGGAGTCGAAGATGTTGGTGAAGAGCATCATGGTGAGTCTCTTCTCCTCCTCGGAGGCTGTGCCTGGAGTGTTAGACGACGTCCGTAATACTTACCACAACGCTCGTAGTGCAGCGTCAGCAGCTGAACACAACCAAAAAAATACACAGTAACTCTTACGTTCTTGACAGCTGTTACTATTACTGCTGTTCTTAACAGCTGCTACTATTGTTCTTAACAGCTGCTGCTACTATTGTTCTTAACACCTACTGCTGCTACTATTGTTCTTAACAGCTACTGCTACTATTGTTCTTAACAACTACTGCTGCTACTATTGTTCTTAACACCTACTGCTGCTACTATTGTTCTTAACAGCTACTGCTGCTACTATTGTTCTTAACAGCTACTGCTGCTACTATTGTTTTTAACTACTGCTACTGTTGTTCTTATAGCTCCTGTTACTACTGTTCTTACAGTTGCTGCTATCGTTCTTCCAGTTACTACTTTTTTTTATACAGTTGCTACTAGTGTTCTTACTGCTGCTGTTGCTACCACTGTACAATACGTATTAATTCCATTATAATTACAACCTTAATTTTTAAAGTGGTAGAGGGGTAAGCCAGTGGAAGGCCTCAGTCAGATGACCAAAAGCTCCAGTGGTGGGTCTTTATATGACTATGACCCGCGTTAGGAAACATTTGTCCCGTTTTCCTGACGAATTTTACCTAACCTAACCTAACCTCATAAATCCACTCAGAATGAAGTATGTTTTTTCTGTAACAGTGCTTTAATATCACACGTTATTATTATCAAAATCATGATGATAGGGGTGAAAATGACACCTTCATGGTGGTTGGGTTGAAAAAGGCACCACCATGGTAGGGGAGAACATGATACCATCATGGTGGTAGGGGTGAAGATGACACCATCATGGTGGTGTGGAGATGAACATCACATCATCATGGTGGTGGGGAGGTGAACATGACACCATCATGGTGTGGAGGTGAACATGACCCCATCATGGTGGTGATGAACATGACACCATCATGGTCATGTGGATGTGACCATGACACCATCATGGTGGTGTGGAGGTGAACATGACACCATCATGGTGGTGTGGTGAGCATGACACCATCATGGTGGTGTGGTGAACATGACACCATCATGGTGGTGTGGTGACCATGATACCATCATGGTGGTGTGGAGGTGAACATGACACCATCATGGTGGTGTGGAGATGAACATGACACCATTATGGTGGTGTGGAGGTGAACATGACACCATCATGGTGGTGTGGAGATGAACATGACACCACCATCGTGGTGTGGTGACCATGATACCATCATGGTGGTGTGGAGGTGAACATGACACCATCATGGTGTGGAGATGAACATGACACCATTATGGTGGTGTGGAGGTGAACATGACAACATCATGGTGGTGTGGAGATGAACATGACACCATCATGGTGGTGTGGAGGTGACCATGACACCATCATGGTGGTGTGGTGAACATGACACCATCATGGTGGTGTGGAGATGACCATGACACCATCATGGTGTGGAGGTGAACATGACACCATCATGGTGTGGAGGTAAACATGACACCATCATGGTGGTGTGGAGGTGAACATGACACAATCATGGTGGTGTGGTAGACATGACACCATCATTGTTGGTGTGGAGGTGAACATGACACAATCATGGTGTGGAGGTGAACATGACACCATCATGGTGGTGGAGATGAACATGACACCATCATGGTGGTGTGGAGGTGAACATGACACAATCATGGTGTGGAGGTGAACATGACTCCATCATGGTGGTGTGGAGGTGAACATGACACAATCATGGTGGTGTGGAGGTGAACATGACATCATCATGGTGGTGTGGAGGTAAACATGACACCATCATGGTGGTGTGGAGGTGAACATGACACCTTCATGATGGTGTGGTGAACACGACACAATCATGGTGTGGAGGTGAACATGACACCATCATGGTGGTGTGGAGGTGAACATGACACCATCATGGTGGTGTGGAGGTGAACATGACACCATCATGGTGGTGTGGAAGTGAACATGACACCATCATGGTGGTGTGTAGATGAACATGATACCATCATGGTGGTGAACATGACACCATCATGGTGGTGTGGAGATGAACATGACACCATCATGGTGGTGTGGAGGTGAACATGACACCATCATGGTGGTGTGGAGGTGAACAAGAAACCATCATGGTGGTGTGGAAGTGAACATGACACAATCATGGTGGTGTGGAGGTGAACATGACACCATCATGGTGGTGTGGAGGTGAACATGACACCATCATGGTGGTGTGGAGGTGAACATGACACCATCATTGTTGGTGTGGAGGTGAACATGACACCATCATGGTGGTGTGGAGGTGAACATGACACCATCATGATGGTGTGGAGGTGAACATGACACCAACATGGTGGTGTGGAGGTGAACATGACACCATCATGATGGTGTGGAGGTGAACATGACACCATCATGGTGGTGTGGAGGTGAACATGACACCATCATGGTGGTAGAAGGTGACACAGCGTAACCTACCCTGAGAGCAACAGTGGTATACTCGGAGAGTTTAGAAACGTCGATAGTAAGTTTACGCAGTAGAGGCAGCAACATGGCCGGCTGCATCTCTCTCGTCAGCGCCACCAGGAAGTCTGACACCGCCTCGCGCTGACCTTTCGTCAGGATCTGTCAGTTGAACACGTTACTGACATGATTGTATAAAACGTGTGCATAGGAAATTTGTTTCAGTAATACATGTATTTGAATATTAAATTTACTAAATGGCAGGGCAGGTAGCACCAATTTCTTGAATCAAGGAAGCTTCTTGAATTGGCCCAACTATTGAAGCTAGTCAAGGTGTTAGCTTCAATAGCCCTACAAGGGGAAACTGTTCCACTCATCGACTACCCTATTTCCAAACCAATACATTCCAGTATCCTTTCTAACTCTAAACTTATCCAATTTGAATCCATTATTTCGAGTTCTTTCTTGGAAGGATATCCTCAGGACCTTGTTTACATGGTTTCACAGTGAGGGGAATGTTCCTCTTCACATATGTCTTAAGTTTTCCTGCGACAGTTGTACCGCTTGTCTGTATTTTCAAACAGATTAGAAAACACATTCAAGAAGTTGTCAGTCACTCTCAATTTATGTGGACGAGTGAAGCACAACTTTAACACTCGGGGTGCAGACGTTAGGTACGCATCTGTATCTCTACTGCTTACACACTATTGGTGGGGTTACCGAGTTGCTGAGGCTGAGGGTGGGGTGTTGAGGGTGTCGGGTTGGGTTTGAGCGTGTGAGGAGCTGAGGGTGTGGCATGGGGTGCTGAAGGTATTGGGCAGGTATTGAGGGAGAAAGGTTTACCTTGCACTTGGAGAGACGGTAGACAGTGTGGAGAGTAGCGTCGAGGAGGGGCGCATGTGCGTCAGCTTCAGCGTAGAAGCTGGAATGAGAGATGAGAGCTGGCAGGATGGAGTTACCGATATAACGGTTGAGAGCCAGACCCATCTCTGACTCTGACCCGTCTGACTGTAACACAAGAACACATCACACGGTAATATAGTATAACTATGGCACCTAACACTATACATCACTACACACATACAAACAATTATGATATTCACCCCTGAGGTGTAAATTATGAAACATACCTATATATATTTTTGTACATCGCACAGATTCGTTAGACTAAATATAACTGAAGAAACCCTTTATATGTACAATTTTACAATACATAATTTCATCTGCGACACAATGTTTTGTTTCCAACCTCTGTAATCACAAGAGAGTCTTAGTTTCGACCCTGCAGAGGCCGGAATGTTTGGCCACCACGTGACTCGGTTATTTCAGGTACATGCAATATATCCGATGCTCCATTGGTTTCCAATGACCACATTTTGTTACTACCACCGCACATTAAGTTCGATCTCATCACAGCAGTGGTCAAGGTCATGGGTAAGCATCATCCAGCATTCACTGATAGCAAAATTATGGAAGACGTATTTTTAGATTCATAAATTAACTAGCTTATGGCTGACAAAGATTTTCAGATGATAATAAATGATGTGGAGTTAGTAACTTGGCGGTTGTTGAAGAACATTAGCAACGGGTTACTCTACAGACACAGAGATGTTAGCTACAAGGCGCTAGTAGATCAACTACTGCACAGTTACCAACGACTTGTCTGCAGTATGCTACTTCAGTTGCAGTTCCTTCACTCACCTTTGTTTTTTTCTTCCTCTGATAACCTATTTGACATGAATGACGGCCATGGAGAAAGATTCTATCAAGATGCTGTGGCAATATAGACACGCAACTAAGATAAAGTCCCGAAATGATTGATTTCTGCTGGATGTTGGAACAAGACTTAGTCACTGGAGGCGCACACATGATGAACCAAGCTAAACATTTTTTAAATGTCTGAACTGTTTACTGACACTATAACATTCGCTGCATTTGTTAGTACAGGATAACTGACTCTGACATAGGTACACATCTTTTACTGGATATCTCCGAATGGGAACCTTAAAGTGGTTGACAAAATTTTTTTTAATTTCTTTTTTTTTCCCAGCTTTTCGTTTTTATTTCACTCATAACACGAGATGGCCTTATGCAATCAGATTCAAATTTTCAACGCTGGTGTATGGTAACTAGGGTAAAATTCTGACCCATTTCCACCTTCCTGCGTGGCTCCAATAATTTCCAAAACCCTCAGTGATGAATCTTCAAACGTTGGAATATGATGCCACCTACGTGGACGGTAATAGTGTGTATATGAGTGCATCTACCAATTTTTATGTGTAAATTGGTAAACTACTGATTCCGATAAACCACGATAAATACGCCTAAGTTTTACCTCTTCTGAATGACTTCAATGTTTAGTGACTGATGTATCTTAGGGTCAGGATAGTACCCAACAATAAAGTTTACTTCGTGTGCAAGCAAATTTGTCCAAGCACTAAATTTCTTGATAAACTTGCAATCGGAATATTTGAGATAACAGGAGAATGCCTCTTTAGATCAAGTTCAAATTTTCAGCCCTGGTGCGTTTTCCAGAAAGCAAGATTCACGTTCTTATTGGGTTGTATATATCCGAATTTACCAATTTTATTAAAAGAAATATGGGTACTGATTTTCATTCAATAACTAAAGAATGCGTCATCTTATTCGGCATCAAATTATTAACACCGGTACAGTCCATCAGCAGGATGACACCACAAAACTTTAGACTAAGTTGCAAATTGGAAATTTTAATAAAACTGTCAAAAACATCGAATTGTTTCGTCCAGAGCATTTACTGCAGAATGCATTTTCTGACAGGCTTTCAAACTTTCAGTGTTAATGGCCTTGAATAAAAAAAACTCGATTTTCAATGACCTTTGTAAATGTTAAATTGCCAATTTTATCAAAATAAAATAGTTTCCACGTAATAACTAGAGAATTGTTCTTCTGGTCGGTTTCAAACTAGTACTAAAATACTGTATTTTAATTTAATTTTTTTTTAAATTTAATTTGGGCTTTGTACAAGCAAATTTGGCATTTTCATTGATTTTAATATAAAATTCGATTTCCTTAAAAAAATCTAAATCAAATATTTTTTTCTTAGAGGATTGTCGAGAATGTTAATAAGAACAGAATTGCAAAAAGGAATTTGAGAAATAGAGTAAACTCACTTCTTACAGAGTTTTAATGTTCACCTGTTTAGTAAACTCTTAAAATATATGTGACGCATCTCACTGTATTTACAATGTTCATTGCATTCTACAGTGTACATAGTATTACTCAGTGTTTACTGTATTCTACATTGTTCATTGTATACTACAGTGTTATTGTATTCTACGGTGTTTATTATATTCTAAAGTGTTTACTGTATTCTAGTATTTATTGTATTCTACATCGTTCATTGTATGCTACGGAGTACATTGTATACCACAGCGTACATTGTATACTTGTGTACAATGTATACTACAGAGTACATTGTATACTACAATGTACATTGCATACTATCAGTGGTGCGGGGAGCGAGCTCCCGTCCCTCAGATGTGAGCTGAGGTTCCTAACAACTAGCAATTGAGCTTGCGAGCGAGAGAAAACAGTACCTTGTCCAGCGAGGTGGCAGCGCGGAGGTCTGGAAGGAAGGCGCTCTCCAGGAGGTTGAAGAAGAGCTCTACATTATCCATGCCGTAGACGCGCTCTAGGAAGAGCACAATGCTCTGTTTGTGCGCTGGGATGAGGCCGGGAGGGATGTCGCTGCGGCCTTCCTCAGCTGCTGTCGTCGACAGTGTGAACCTCAATGACAACACACCCTAAAAGTGTATTTCCCTCATTATTAAAATTATTGTGTAAATCAGTATTGTACTGTTAACCTATTTTATAAGAAAGTCACATGTTAGGTACAACGACTCAATTACAACTGTGATATTTTATTTCGGCATAAAATGACACATTAGTTGCACATGTCTTGTTTACCTAACATATTGTGGGTAATGATGCCATTATTGCAGCAAGATAGTTACAGCCTGGGAATGAAAGATGGTTACAGCCTGGGAATGAAAGATGGTTACAGCCTGGGAATAAAAGCTAGCTGTGTTTCCCTGTCACACTCCACCACACAGGATAGATCGCTTCCATCAGGTCAGGAAAGCCGTCGGTTTGAGCTCTGAGGTTCCAGAAGGACGACGAGGGACAACGTCAAACATTCCTGCAAAGTTTCAGGGGTTTTGCTGCAGCCGAGCTGGAATTATTATTACTTGGGGAGTTTGAGTTACTATTACTTGGGGATTACTAACTCTCGGGAAGAGGAGCAGCACAGTCAAACCAGCAAAGCACTGTGCAGCAATACGGATCTGTACTTTGAGTTATTCGATGAAAATAATTACTTACCAAGAAGAGAATGAAGATGCAAGGTAAGGAGCTTGTAAAACAGAGACGAAGATAGGTAGGTAGATATTTAGGTAGAAATGAAGGAAGAAAGGAAGCAGAGAGAGAGAGAGAGAGAGAGAGAGAGAGAGAGAGAGAGAGAGAGAGAGAGAGAGAGAGAGAGAGAGAGGGTATGGAGGACGAAATGGAGAACAGGGCATCGACGGAATAGACCAGGGAAACATGAAAGCAGGCGTGTATGTGTGGAGGGACGCACCTGCAGGTCTTCCAGAGGTACCAGGGAGCGCAGGATGGCCCTGGCTCGCAGGCTGTCGTTCTTGCCCTGAGCGATGACGTTGGTCTCAGGTGCGCAGCGACCCATCAGGTCAACCAGCGTGCAGTAGAAGGCCAGAATGGCTGCCCCTGTGTCTATGTAATCTTCGTCATCGTCTCCAGCAGGCATGGGGTGGTCGATAGGCACTGCGCCTTCGGCCTCTGCGCCGAGACGCTGCGCAGCAATGCGCTCTGACATCTGTAAAAGTAACAAAAACGAAATTGTGATGTCTGCTTATTCTCCTCAAGTTTGCTGAATAGTCTTATCAGAAAAATAACATTTACAGCACCCTGGCTGGAATAATTAAACGCTAAGCTACAAATTGGAGATGAAATTATGCAACGTTTCCGTCAGTTCTGGAGAATTACTGAGAGAACTCGATAATGGTCCAGGAAGGACTAAAACGTCTTGATTCATCTTCTCGTTTCATTGTTCCCGCCTGAGTGCAGCGATTGTTATTCCTCTCTAGCGGTGTTTACCTTGTTAGCATCGATGATGGCACGCAGGAGGCCCTCTCCTTCGCCTCGCAGCGCAGGTCCCAGGCACTCAGGCTTGCGGATCAGAAGACGGATCACCAGATTGGCGTTCTCCTCCACACTCTCACCTGTACCATACAAACACACACAGTCATTAACAACCTCCAAAGTGTATACTAAACATATTTAATTCTTGTTATTATTAATGTATTTATAAACGACTAAGTCAGCGTTATTTAGAAGTAATTAAATTATTAATTTTATTGTGCAGAAAATAAGCAGGCTTAATATCAACGGTTGGGCATAAATATTTCGAAAATAAATAAATCAATTTTAACAATAATATCTAGAGGTGTAATAAACAGAGGAATAAGGAGGTAATATCAAAATATGCTAGGGAAGGTTAGGGTTTCAGAACACTGGGGAAAACAGAACCACTGCAGCACAGAACACTGGGGAAAACAGAACCACTGCGGCACAGAACACTGGGGAAAACAGAACCACTGCAGCACAGGACACTGGGGAAAACAGAACCACTGCTGTACAGGACACTGGGGAAAACAGAACCACTGCAGCACAGGACACTGGGGAAAACAGAAACATTACAGTACAGGACACTGGGGAAAACAGAACCACTGCTGTACAGGACACTGGGGAAAACAGAACCACTGCAGTAGGACACGGGAAAACAGAACCTCCTGCGGTATAGGACATGGTACAAGAGAACCTCTGCAGTACAGGACACTGGTACAAGAGAACCCCTGTAGTGCAGGACACTGGTACAAGAGAACCCCTGCAGTACACGACACTGGTACAACAGAACCCCTGCAGTACAAGACACTGGTACAACAGAACCCCTGCAGTACAGGACACTAAGAAAACAGCAGTCTAACAATACAATCATCAATCACAAGCGTGTATTAGAGAGATGCAGTCGATGATACCAGTGTTGATAAGTACTTATGTCATGATTTAGTGTCTTCACTCACCTGAGTGCATTTGTAAACTCGGGTGGTTTTGTATACCTGAGTGTTTCTTGTACGAATGAAGCAAGTATATTACTGAAGCAAGTGTACTAACGACATAAATGTATGAATGAAACAGTCATGTGTATGAATGAAACGTGTTTAAATGAAGCTGTTAGATGTATGAAATAAATAGATGAATAAGGGTGTATAAATGTTGGTATATGAATAAGAAGAAGCTTGCAGGGTGAACACGAGTCCAGTAAAGTCAATCAGTCGTACTGACACTTACACGAATTTCAGCACCATCGCATTTACTCAAAATTTCCTGATGTAAAGGTCGTACTGAACTCCCTAAAAAAATGATTTTCTATTTTTCTCTTATGCACTGATGAACAGAATTCCGTGAATTAACTTTAACATTTGCCGTGTATTTAACTTAGTAACCTCGCTTAACCTTGCTAAAGTTAACGGAATATAAACTAGCACGTTGGCTAATATTTAGACTGAAGTTGGTTAATATTTAGACTGTGTTGCACAGAGCTATTGTAACAATGATCTTACATAGTATTTCTTTGTAAGTCAAGAAAGCAAGATTTGCCTAACACGTGTATATACACTGAGAGATGTGTATGTCTAAGTGTATATACACTGACAATTTACTTCAATCTATTTCTTATAAATTCTTTTTAAAAATTTTCACTGGTGTAGAAACGATAAACTTGGTGACCCTTACACGGCCAATAAGTTTAAATCCAATACATGAAACACCTCCGCCTAAAATACATGAAAAATATATTGTAACATGTAAAAAATGTACGCGTTAAAAACGCTTGTAATAATGAAGGAATGGAAAAGAGAAGTTAATGTGTCCACTTCACATAACCTCATGGAACTCATTGATTTTCTGTCTGAAAACCCCGTGGTACAAGGTCACTTGCCTTCACCAAATCCACATGAAGTGAGTCCAGTTGTCCGCCCAAGGACTTCTTGCTTAATACTTTCGAGGGAGAGGGGCGAGGCAAGCTGGTGCAGTGTCGGGACGAGGCAAGCTGGTGCAGTGTTGGGGCGAGGCAAGCTGGTGCAGTGTTGGGGCGAGGCAAGCTGATGCAGTGTTGGGGCGAGGCAAGCTGGTGCAGTGTTGGGGCGAGGCAAGCTGGTGCAGTGTTGGGGCGAGGCAAGCTGGTGCAGTGTTGGGGCGAGGTAAGCTGGTGCAGTGTTGGGGCGAGGCAAGCTGGTGCAGTGTTGGGGCGAGGCAAGCTGGTGCAGTGTTGGGGCGGGGCAAGCTGGTGCAGTGTTGGGGCGAGGCAAGCTGGTGCAGTGTTGGGGCGAGGCAAGCTGGTGCAGTGTTGGGGCGAGGCAAGCTGGTGCAGTGTTGGGGCGAGGCAAGCTGGTGCAGTGTTGGGGCGAGGTAAGCTGGTGCAGTGTTGGGGCGAGGCAAGCTGGTGCAGTGTTGGGGCGAGGCAAGCTGTTGCAGTGTTGGGGCGAGGCAAGCTGGTACAGTGTTGGGGCGAGGTAAGCTGGTGCAGTGTTGGGGCGACGTAAGCTGGCGCAGTGTTGGGGCGAGGTAAGCTGGTGCAGTGTTGGGGCGAGGCAAGCTGGTGCAGTGTTAGGGCGAGGTAAGCTGGTGCAGTGTTGGGGCTAGGCAAGCTGGTGTAGTGTTGGGGCGAGGCAGGCTGGTGCATTGTTAGGGCGAAGCAAGCTGGTGCAGTGTTGGGTCGAGGCAAGCTGGTGCAGTGCTGGGTCGAGGCAAGCTGGTGCAGTGTTCAAATTCAAATTCAAATTCAAAGTTTATTCTCTATAAGGATTACAATGTTGAATTTACAGAATTTGGTTATTGTGTGGTTTATATGTAGTTAAATAATGATTACAGAGTGTACCACTAGAACGCCTAGCATGGCTAGGCATTTCGGGCAGACTTAGTTTAATTCTTTATTTTAAAATATTACAAATTATGAGGTAAGTTGGTATTATGGCTAAGTGACTAAATACTAGTTTGTGAGTTTAGCAATGTGAATGCTTTTGTTTTGGCACAGTACATAGTTTCAGTATTGGAGTATCATAGGATTCATTATTTTAAGATTGAGATTAATATTTCTGTTTATGGTCAAATGGGTGAGTGAGTGTAAGTGTGAGCCACCAGGTGGTATTCGTGTAGTTAGTTGATGGGGTGTATCAGGGAGATAAGATGTTTTCTAGTGGTAGTTTTGAAGGTGATGAATGTGTCTGCAGTTCTAGAGTTCTCAGGTAGGGTGCTCCAAATTTTAGGGCCTTTGACATACATTGATTTTTTGTAAAGGTTTAGTCGGACACGGGGAATGTCGTAGAGATGTTTGTGTCTGGTGTTATGCCTGTGGGTTCTGTCACAACTATCAAGAAAGCGTTTTAGGTCAAGGTTGATATTGGAGTTTAAGGTCCTGTAGATGTAGATTGCACAGTAGTAAGTGTGGATGTACTGAACAGGGAGTAAGTTTAGATCTATGAAGAGTGGGGGGGTGTGTTACCAGGGATGGGATTAAGTGATTATTCTTACTGCAGCTTTTTGTTGGGTTATTATTGGCTTTAGGTGTGTTGCTGCAGTTGATCCCCAAGCACAAATGGCATAGGTGAGGTATGGATAAATAAGTGAGTGGTATAGTGTGAGAAGGGCATTTTGCGGCACGTAGTATCTTATCTTGGAGAGGATCCCAACCGTTTTGGATACTTTTTTGGTTATGTGTTGGATATGGGTGCTGAAATTCAGGTTGTTGTCAAGGTATAGGCCTAGGAATTTGCCCTCATTATGTCTGGTAATTAGAGTGTTGTCAATCTTAATGTTAATTTGTGCATCTCCTGCTCTGCTACCAAACACAATATAGTAGGTTTTGTCAGTGTTAAGCGTAAGTTTATTGGCTGTCATACAAGTCGATATTTTGATCAGCTCCTCGTTAACAATGGTGTTGAGGGTGGCAAGATTAGGGTGAGAGATGACATAAGTTGTGTCAGCAAAGAGAATGGGTTTCAGGTGTTGGGATACGTTTGGAAGATCATTGATGTATATGAGGAAGAGCAGGGGACCAAGGACACTTCCCTGCGGAACTCCAGTATCAGGTGGCCGTGTTGTTGATGCTGTGTCTTTAATGGTGACATACTGATACCTATTAGTAAGGTAAGATTTGAAGTAAGCAAGCGCATGGCCTCTTATACCGTAATGGTCAAGTTTGTGGAGTAGGATGTCGTGGACTACTGTGTCAAAAGCTTTTCTTAGGTCAATAAAAATTCCTAGTGGATATTCCTTATTTTCCAATGCTGTGTAAAGCAGATCTAGCATTTTTATGATTGCATCATTAGTGCTTTTATTTTTCCTGAATCCAAATTGGCAGGGGTTGAGTATGTTTTGTGCTGTTATAAATGAATATAGTCTCCTGTGCACGAGTTTCTCAAAGATTTTGGATAGCAACGGTAAGTTTGATATTGGCCTATAGTTGTTTAAGTCTGTAGGGTCACCACCTTTATGTATTGGTGTAACCCTTGCCATCTTGAGTAGTGTTGGGTCGAGGCAAGCTGGTGCAGTGTTGGGTCGAGGCAAGCTGGTGCAGTGTTGGGTCGAGGCAAGCTGGTGCAGTGTTGGGTCGAGTCAAGCTGGTGCAGTGTTGGGTCGAGGCAAGCTGGTGCAGTGTTGGGTCGAGGCAAGCTGGTGCAGTGTTGGTCGAGCAAGTGTGCAGTGTTGGGTCGAGGCAAGCTGGTGCAGTGTTGGGTCGAGGCAAGCTGGTGCAGTGTTGGGTCGAGGCAAGCTGGTGCAGTGTTGGGTCGAGGCAAGCTGGTGCAGTGTTGGGTCGAGGCAAGCTGGTGCAGTGTTGGGTCGAGGCAAGCTGGTGCAGTGTTGTGAGGCTCAGTGAGTACACATTCTAGCGTCCTCAGAAAACGATACGATAAACAAAGTATATATTTCCTTCATTCATCTGATACTAAAAGCTCCAACGGTGGGTCATCATCCAAGACCCGTGTTAGGAATCACTTGTCCTGTTTCCTGACGAACTTACTTAGTCTAATATTATATTGCTAATGTTATTTTCGTTAACAGCTAAAGCGAAAATATCATGCTTTATATTATTAGTTGTCTTATATCTTAAGTTTACGTATATAGGCAGGTTGTAACAACTACACTACATTGTGCTCGCTAAAACGTTTTGATTGGCTACCCGTGCTACAAACTACCTGTTTGTTTGTTTACTGGGGCGTGCGGTAAACCAGTAGGTGTAATCTTGCCCCTGCAGTGCTCCTTCGCTCTCTCTTTCCCTCTCTCTCGCTGGATCTCTCTCCTCTGTCTGGGAGAATGTTGTTCTCTACTCGTGTCATGTAGACTCTGTTTCCTGGTAGAGTGTCTCCGTTGGTGAGCCGCAACATACATCTCGTAATTATGCGCCAAAAAAAGTTCACAGAGCCTTAATTAGAGTTACTGATCTCGGCCGTTTTCTGAGGTTGTTTCGTAAGAGACTGTGTTTCAGGTGCTGAGTCCAACTCCAGATCTACCTTGTTCTGACTGGCATCTACGCACTGTCGTATTCAGGGTTTGGAAATTGCTGAACTCAGATTCGGTATTTTTTTTTTTTTTTTTTTGCCTTGTATGGAGAACTTATCGCTTTGTCTCCTCCTTTGTCCGACGCTGTGCTATTCACTGCTGCTTCGTGTATTTTGTCGTTTGGTGAATTTGTCGTGTAAGTGTTCAAGCAAGCTGTTATATTTCTTTTCTATAGGTCAAAGGTTAGCTTCTCTGGGGACTTTGTCAGTCACATGCTTAGCCTAGCCTAGCACACCATACTCGCGTACAGTAAATTTCGTTACAGTAACGTACCAGATGGTACAGTTTCTTTGAAAGTATTTCTATGCTCAGTATCATAATTAAAGTGCTGACTGCACAGTCAAATTAAATGTACAGAACACTAAGCACTAGTTGCAGAAGCTAAACACCAAGCCAAGTGTAGTAGCAACTTATATATTTATAAGTTTACATTCAACTAAATATTATTTAACCTAGACACCTTTTCGTTATTTAAAGTTATCAAACTTTATTTTGGTTAGTATGATTTCATCCAGTTGTAATCCCAAAGCGCTATGAGAAGCCCCCAAATGATAGGGGATAACTGTACTTCAATTTTACCTAACGACCTGTTATAAAGCCAGAAACAGGCTAGGTACTAGAGAGTGAGCAATACGTTGTTGACTTAGTATTCTCTGGTAGATATCTATGATAAGGGATGTCGCATTTTGTAACATACACTGAAGACACGCCTACCATGCGTGAGGATAAGGATACACGACACCAGTGAAAGGTCTACCGTGCGTGAGGATGAGGATACACGACACCAGTGAAAGGTCTACCGTGCGTGAGGATGAGGATACATGACACCAGTGAAAGCTCTACCGTGCGTGAGGATGAATATACATGACATCAGTGAGGGGCCTACCGTGCGTAAGGATAATGATACATGACTGGTAATGGCCAGGTTTAGCGATTCTTTTTGATTATAATAATAATAATGGTAAGGGCCTAAGCTACGTGAGGGTGAGGATACACGACGCTAGTGAGGGAGGGTACGTGAGGATGAGGAAGAAATGATAAGGGTGTACCTTGCAGCTCCTGGTCCCTGTTCAGACCTGGTAAAAGTAAGCCACACTACAAGCCAACCCGGGATGTCATACTACAAGCCAGCCTGGCGTTCTTCACTATAAGAGAGCCTGGTGTAACACACTACAAGCCAACTTGGTGTCACTACAAGCCAGCTTGATATCACACTACATGAAAGCATGGTGTTACACTACAAGCTAGCTTGGTGTCACACTACAAGCCAATTTGGTGTGTCACACTACAAGACAGTTTGGTGTGTCACACTGCAAGCCAGTCTGGCGTCCTTCACTATAAGAGAGCCTGGCGTGTCATACCACAAGCCAGCTTGGTGTGTCACACTACAAGCCAGCTTGGTGCATCACACTACAAGAAAGCTTGGTTTGTCACACTACAAGCCAGCATGGTGTGTCACACTACAAGCCAGCTTGGTGTCTCATACTACAAGCCAGCCTGGTGTGTCACAATACAAGTCATCTTGGTGTCATACTTCAAACCGGCTTGGTGTGTCATACTATAAGCATGCTTGGTGTCACATTACAAGTCAGCCTAGTGAGTCTCACTACAAGCCAACTTGGTGTCACACTACAAGCCAGTTTGATGTGTCACACTACAAGACAGTTTGGTGTGTCACATTGCAAGCCAGTCTGGCGTCCTTCACTATGAGAGAGCCTGGTGTGTCATACTACAAGCCAGCTTGGTGTGTCACACTACAAGCCAACTTGGTGAGTCACACTACAAACCAGCTTGGTGCCACAATACAAGCCAGCTTGGTGCATCACACAAGAAAGCTTGGTGTGCCACACTACAAGCCAGCTTGGTGTGTCACACTACAAGCCAGCTTGGTGTGTCTCACTACAAACCAGCTTGGTGTTACACTGCATGTCAGCCTAACATGCTACAATACAAGCAAGTCTGGCGTGTTACAATAAGAGCAGGCCTAGCATGCCACACTGCAAGCCAGCCTAGCATGGTAAAATGCAAGCCAGCCTGATGTGTTACACTACAAGCCAGCTTGAAGTGCCACACTACAAGCCACCTTTGCATGGTACAAATCAGCCTGGATTGCCACACTACAAGCCAGCCTTGCATGCTACAATACAAGCCAGCCTGGAGTGCTACAATATTAAGTCAGCTTGGTGTGTCATACTACAAACCAGCTTGGTGTGTCACACTACAAGCCATCTTCGTGTGTCACACTACAAGCCAGCCTTGTGTGTCACACAAGTCAGCCTGGTGTGTCACAGTACAAGCCATCTTCGTGTGTTATACTACAACCCAGTGTGGTGTATCACACTACAAGCCAGCCTTGTGTGTTACACAAGTCATCTTGGTGTGTCACACAACAAGTTATCTTGGTGTGTCATACTCAAGCCAGCCTGGCGTGGTGTGTCACACTACAAGCCAGCCTTGTGTCACACAACAAGTCAGCTTGGTGTGTCACACTACAAGCCAGCCTTGTGTCACACAAGTCAGCTTGGTGTGTCATACTACAAGCCAGCCTTGTGTGTCACACCACAAGCCAGCTTGGTGTGTCACACTACAAGCCAGCCTGGCGTATCACACTACAAGCCATCCTGACGTGTCACAACGCTACCAGACTGGTTACGCAACAGATGTAACCTTCCTACTCTTTAAGTGTTATCTGATAGGTCAAGCTGAGCAAGTCTTTGACCAATCAGACCACAGTATAAGCAGAAGTAGGTGACCATTAACGTTAAAAACAAAATACTCACAGCCTAGCAGGCAACACTACTCTCTACAGCAAGCTGTTTAATTTACATTTTTGAAAGCTCTAAATACAAAATACAGGATGTATTAATGCAGAATAATGGATTTATTAAAAGGAAAGTTAATCCAATCTTTATTTATAATTTTCTAACGCAACTAATGTAATATGCTTAAGAAAATAAGAACTAAGATTTACCAAATTATAGCAAATACTAATGATTATATACAGGCAAGCCTCGCTTTACAGCGTTTCGCTAATACAGCTGTTTTCAATTATACCCATTCTTCATTTATTCAGACTTCCTACAGTAAATATATTCACCACTCATTACAAGCTAAGGACAAAAATATTTTAAGGTAAGTAATGTGTGTATACTGTATATGCAGTTTTTAGGCCTAGCTATATTGCTCACTTAATATATGATAGCGTAAACATGATATCAGGTTTTTAAAAGCATTTGAAAATGAAAAAAAAAAAAAAAAAAAGGCTGATTCACTTTACAGCGTAACCCGGAACCTAATCTGCTGTATGAGCAGGGCCCGCATACATACATATATATTATACATGTGTGTGTGTGTTTGTTTGTGTATTTATACATTGAGGTGGATAAACAGTGTACTGCTGAAAATACAGAACACAAATAACAAAAAAGGCACAATACCGTGACTGGAATGATACACAAATAACCCGCACATAAAAGAGAGAAGCTTACGACGACGTTTCGGTCCGACTTGGACCATTGACAAAGTCACACTTTGTCAATGGTCCAAGTCGGACCGAAACGTCGTCGTAAGCTTCTCTCTTTTTTGTGCGGGTTATTTGTATACAGAACACAATACACACTGCAGAAGAGCATTAACTAGGTCGACGTTTCGCTGTGTCCAGATTTATAGTCATGTCTTGATAAAGTTCTACATAGAGTGAAATGTTGCCCCCAATAAATGCCTCTTCTGCAACAAGTGTCTTCTATATAGAGGTGTACATTATATCTTTGGGCGTCAATAGGGTTTAAAGTCTATCAACTACACTCGGGCCACTGAGGCTGCAAGTAACGTTTTCTTCACCAGACAAAAAATACTTTAATTACTAAAATAGGGATTAAATTACTCTCAATGTATATATACAGATAAGAAAAACGACTCTATACCCTTACTGGAACTATACACAAATAACCCGTACGTATGACCTACGTACGGATTATTTATGAATATACACAGGGAAATACACCTCAGGGTGCCTGTATCGTGTGCCTCCAGGGCCAAGTCATGATGGCTCACTGTGGCACTTAATCTTTAAAAGTAATAATATGTCTCTTCTTTCATTTATATTTTCTCTATTTTCATTCGTCTCCTACACACGCAGTACCGAACTCCCCCCAAGCAGTACCTACCTCCCACCCACACACATAGTACCTACCTTCCCCATACACGCAGTACCTAACTCCCACCCACACACACACACGTAGTACCTACCTTCTCCATACACGCAGTACCTAACTCCCCCTCCCCCACGCAGTACCTAACTCTCTCTCCCCCACGCAGCACCTACCTCCCACCCACACACACACACGTAGTACCTACCTTCTCCATACACGTAGTACCTAACTCCCCCTCCCCCCATGCAGCACCAAACTCTCCCGCCCCCCACGTAGTACCTACCTCCCCCATACACGCAGTACCTATCTCCCACCCACACGGACGCATACCTACTTCCCACCCACACACACTCAGTACCTACCTCCAACCCACACGCAGAACCTGAGGAAGTCGAGGTAACGCTCTCCCTCTACTGGGTCCCAGCCCAGGTCTGGGTAGCCTCGCTCCACCAGGTCACTGTTGCTCTGAAGTCCACATCTTGAAAGGTACACAGCAATCTTTTCTAAGTGGTGTTCTCTGTCGGGGAGGAAGAAGTAAGCAGTGAAACATACTGAAACACAATACTGTGTTTACTTAAATATGTGACTTTTCAGGTGTTATCTTGCCTATTCCAACATTATTGTGTTCATTTATATATTACTGTTTTAATATTATTATGCGTGTCTAAAAATTGTGCCTATTTGAATATGATTCCGCATATTCAAACGGTATTGATATTATTCAAACATTGCTGTGAACATTTATACATTATTATTAATATTAATGTCTGCTTATTTCAATGTTATTGTTTTTATATAAATATTTTTGTCCTTATTTAAACATTGTTGTCTTTGTTTAAATATTATTACTGTACTTAAGTAATGTTATTGTACTTATGTAAATATTAATGTACTTATTTAATATTACTTTATATTCAACATATAACGCGCAATTTAAACATTATATTGATCGAATTCAAACATTATTGATCTTTTTTAAACATTATTGATCTTTTTTAAACATTATTGATCTTGTTTAAACCTTATTGATTTTATTCAAACATTGGTGTGAATATTCAAAGATCAATTCGCTTTCTTGTTGTCAACATTTAAGCAACTTCATTCTCTAATGTTTGTTATAAACTAACCGTCCTGGAAAATGTTTCACAAGACGTGTGGATGACTGGTGAAGACTTGTATCAAGTTACTTGTGGGTAATATAGTAACCAGAGACTTTCAAAGATGTCTAGAGTAACGGGAGGTGTTATTCATCGAAGGTATACAATACAGTACCGACAGCTTGATAAATAAGACACACGTGCAGCACTTGGGTATTATTTGTGTCGGAACTTTCTGCCTGTACGTTTGGCTTCTCCACGCCTAGCAGTTTTTCTTTTCAATCCCAGGCTTTTGCAGTCCCAGCAACCGTCTTCAGTTCAAGGTTTTTCAGTCCCAGCAAATTTCTTCAATTCATTTTTTTTTCAATCCCAGCAAGCTTCTTCAATACTTACATGAAAGTCGCCTCCGTACTCGATTGAAAAAAAAAAAGCCTGTTGCAGTATAGATGAAGTGTTTCGTCATTAAAGATACCTAAATGTTGCACATGTGTGTTATTCATACACGATAGGTGTTGGTGATGTTCCAAAACTGTAAGAGGTACCAAGGGTCATTAAAGGATGTACTACGGGTATAGTAGTTACCAGTGGTCACACAACAGGGCATCAACGGTTAGAGAGGGATGTAACAGACTTCTTGGAGTTATCAGGAATGATAGGAGTGTATATACCTGAGAGCCAGAGCCAGCTCAGTGTTGTCCATGAGGGAGGAGTAGGCGACGTCGAGCGGGGTCGTGCCTCTGAGGGAGGGCCGGGAGAGCAGGATGTAAGAGTTCTCCAGCAGGAAGGGCAGGTGGTCGAACATAGCCTTCTGGTTCTGGCCTCCCGTGCGACAGAAGTAGCACAGGAACTTGCAGCACGCCACCACCATCTCGTGCGACGTGTCCTGTCGCAGCGCACGTACAATACAAATTGATCTCACAATTCATCCCTTACAACGATAATTATAAACTTATTATCAGCATTATTAACATAATTATTATTATATTCATGGGGGAATGAAAGGTGATCTCGTTTGATCTAGGGGAAGGGTAGCTCCAATTCCTTGGATCAAAAGATCTTTACCAGCATCAATTAGTTCACCTTACAAAGTATAGCTCACTGTTCCCGTGCCTGTTATTTTGCTTTCATCATACTGTTACCAGGATGATGCATGTATCGTGTATTGTTTGAAAAGATGATACATGCGCCGTGCATTGTTAGAATTATACGTGTGGTATATTGTTTGCTAGAATGATACATGTGCCGTGCATTGCTTGCTAGGATGATACGTGTGTCGTGTTGCGTTGGCTAGGATGATACGTGGGTGGTTTACTGTTTGCTAATTATTCTGCTCTCATCATCTTAAACAAATTACCTACACATCAATATACAACTAATGTATCATTCAGTGAATGCTTTACACGGGGATATATGGATCACGTATACATTGAACATTATTCACTGGTGAATGTGATTCTTTGAAAAGAATGCGTGAGGATCGGGAAGGGGCTACAAAAACCCAATCAGGTAAAAAAAAAAAATAGTCTTATTATTTTTCTGTTTTTTCAATTTTTTTTTTGAACTAGATATGAAAGGCAGCAAGCATTGCTTGGATTTTTTATATTATATTTTTTAAGTTAACGAAGGTGTGTAATAGTTCACAGATGTGACCTTAAGCACTGTTCACAGAGGTGACCTTGAACATAGTTCACAGAGGTGACCTTGAACCTAGTTCACAGAGGTGACCTTGAACCTAGTTCACAGAGGTGACCTTGAACATAGTTCACAGAGGTGACCTTGAACATAGTTCACAGAGGTGACCTTGAACCTAGTTCACAGAGGTGACCTTGAACATAGTTCACAGAGGTGACCTTGAACCTAGTTCACAGAAGTGACCTTGAACATAGCTCACAGAAGTGACCTTAAGCACTGTTCACAGAGGTGACCTTGAAGATAGTTCACAGAGGTGACCTTGAACATAGTTCACAGAGGTGACCTTGAACCTAGTTCACAGAAGTGACCTTGAACATAGCTCACAGAAGTGACCTTGAACATTGTTCACAGAGGTGACCCTGAACATTGTTCAGGTGACCTTGAACACTGCTCAGAGGTGACCTTGAACATACACTTGAAACTGTTACTCTGTTGTCTTAATGACGATAATACAACTTCACAAATTCCCATAATAAACAAACAAAATAAAACGCACATCAACATTCCCAGTGTATATACACTGAGCGTTTTCTTCCAAGCTTATTGTAGGAGTTACAGTTAGTTGCTTGCTTTATTAGACTCAAATTTTATTAACTACACAAGGATCATTAAGGCTGCATGTCACATGCAGCAGTCAAAGACTACTATTGTATTATCTCCCAACGTATATATATATACATGGATAGACTCATACCTCTTGGTGTATATGCCTTTGTAAGTGCTTTGTTTAAAAACCTAATGCGGTCGATAGGTTTTCAACTTAACCAACCAATATTATGTTGTCATGGAACCAAGAGATTAATTCTCTGTATATTTATAGGATATACGATCAGTGAAAACTTTATACAGTTGACATAAAGGATCCAATATTTTTTTTAATTATTCGTGTTTGAGTTCCCTTCATAAGGCTAAATAGAGTTTAAACTTTTTCATACATTTTCGTACGAATCAAAGCCATTTCATAACGTCTATGCAAAGCAAACTTGAGAGAACATGCACTGAATAAGACAGGATAATAAATGCAATGACAGTGAAATAAGAGTGCGGTGAATATATAATGAGTAGAATGCAAGGTAGCCTAGCAAGGTTAATGAGGCGACTGATGGAGGATATATGAAGCACAGGCCAGGCACAGCTGCTGCAGTACGATGTGCTCATCCACACACCTAAATGAAATAATAATAATAATAATAATATTAATATTATAATAATAATAATAATAATTATAATAATAATAATAATAATAATAATAATAATAATAATAATAATAATAATAATAATAATAATAGTGAATAAAAAGGCAGAATACCGTGACTGGAACAATACACAGATAACCCGCTCGTAAGAAAATGAAACCTAAGATTACGTTTCGGTCCGACTTGGACCGAAACGTCATCATAAGTTTCATTCTTCTATGTGCGGGTTATTGGTGCAATTATAATAATAATAATAATAATAATAATAATAATAATAATAATAATAATCTAGTCTGAGGTATGGGGAAAAGATGTTTGAATTGTAATAGTAGTAATATACCTCTGGCAAGACAGCTATTGAAGGAGTGATGGTGCATGTGTTTCCTTGAAGGGAAACAGCAGATGTAGTAAACTAAATAATAATAATAATAATAACCTAGTTTAAGAAATAAAAAGCAAAAACATGTGAAAACAGATATCATATGGGGAGGAAGCAGTATATGGGAGAGGGAGGGACGGGACTCGAACTTCCGACTCGATGCCTATTAAATATCTCATCCGCTGAAGAGGGTTTCTGGGATCGAAAGAATCAGATATTCCCTACATTGTGGGATTTATCTGCACATGCTTGCATCAGTGTTTGCCGGGATACTTTGTATATGCAGTATATATTCAATTGTATACATTTCGTACTTTACATAGATACAAACTTATTATATATATATATATATAT